ATCATTCAGTAATTTCTTGAATATGGAAACAATTCCAGTAAGTCAAACAGCTGTCTGGATACCTGTGCCTTGTTGAGTATAGGTTATCATCCTTTCTGAAGACAAGCATATTGCTATAGAAGCCAAACAGAATCAACGAGTGATTTCCACAACTGTTACATCCATGGTTGCAGTGTCACTTGGTAAGATAGTATTTGCCAGTACTGAAGCACAACTGAAGGTTTCAAGTGAAGGGACTGCATGCCTAAGTATAAGTATCTGTATTCCAGTAACTGCCTAACCCAGAAGTGCAAGTGCAAGAATAAAGTGGTGTTGTCAACATTTCATGAAACATATGGAATCAGGCTCAGGACATCATCAAACATGACAAATTAATATGTGGCAGTATTATGATGTGAGCTGATGTTTCAATGGGATATTGCACCCTACTCCACATGTTTAAAGATGGTTCTTTAATGGCTGCATAGCATCCGGATGAAGTCTTACATCACATTATGAGACTCTGCAGTGTAGCAGTTGGTCCTGATTTTCTCCTAATGAATGCTAATTCCCATTCTCATTGAGACTGCAACATGAGCCTGAAGAATTATGACATTTCTCTTATGGAATGGCCACCATTCCACTCAACTTAATTCCAATGGAAATCTTTAAAATGTCTTTGGACATGCATGTCTGTTTCCTCCAGCCAGTTTCAGACTAATGGAAACTGCTCTAATGTAGGAATAGATATTGTTAGCACTTACGATAGTTGATCATCTCACTGAAAGCAATTTGTTATAGCAATTTCCCTTGGTTTCAGCGAGATGTGTCGCACACCTTATTAACACAGTTTTGTTTGTTTGCTTTTAGCTTTAAACATCAATACGTTAATAACGCAAATGAGATGTCCTTATATAATTTACAAAAATAAAATATTGCTTGCATCCATCTTTAGACATAATGCTTGTTTTCTTTCATGCATAAACACATTTGCTACTCGCATGTGCAATTACTTTTCCATTTTTGTTGATTTTTAATGTTGTGTGCTTAACTTTCATAAATAAGTGTGCTATAACCCATCTATGGCTGAGTGGATTAGACTACTGAATGCTAGTATTTTGTCTGGGGGTTTGGTTTTCTATAAATGGAATATACAGAGTTTTTTTTTGGGGGGGGGAGGTTGCTCTTATGTGTAATGTGAATATGAACTAATTTTCTTTTATGAAGTCCTTCTCCAAGGTACTTCTCATCTCAGGTATATAGCCTTCAGATATTTTGCTGTATTCAAGAAGCAAATCTCATGCATCACTAAAATTGCAAAGATAATTTTTTATATCAACTCTGTCTTGAAACACATTCTAAAGATTTTAGATACACAACTAACTCTGGATGTAGTGAACTCAGTTAAGTAAGTTTTGGAACTATAGTGAATCAAAGTCATTGGCTCTGATTTGCATTTGCATAAAATGTACATTAAAAATACTTTTTTTAAATAATGTTTGGTGTGAACACTTGAGTTTGGTAATAGTGAACCAAAAAATTAAAACTGCCCCCTTCCCAAAAAAGTGGAAATAATAACTTACTTCAAAACTCTTTATAAAAGTTTGGAAGAACAGGCTAAGAGCAATAATGTAGCTCACTATGCATTTATAAAGCCTACTAACAGACAAAAGAACGTTATCCAGATATTTTTAAATCCTTTGCATTCATATAAACAACAGCTAGATGCTCAGTTGTAGAGCTTCCACCAATATATTAGAACATTAGTCATTAGTTTTCTGAGTTCTTCAATGAATTGTGAATCAATTATTTAAAGTTGTCATAGTTCATCTCTTATTTGAATATATCCCCCTTTTTTTAACAACTGTGCTTCCAGTACATAGCCATCATCTATGTGCTAGTCACATTCTTTGGTTCTACAGTTATTGTGTCATGCAGTCTTGCAATTATTGACACATATAATGCAATTCCATATAAGAGAAAAAATCTCAATGGTGGTAGAACATTACAAAGGTCCTTGGGGAAAAATAACAACCTTGGTTAAGAATCACTATTCATTAATATTCTAGCAATTTATTTCCTGAGAAAGGGAGTTTTTAAAGGAAAATTCTTTAATATGGGTCTTTTAGGAGTTTGGAAAACTATATTTCTTAGCAGTAGTATATTGTTTTTTTTAAAAAAAAAAAAAAAAAAAAAAAAAAAAAAAACTTATAAACATATTTTCTACCTTGATATGCAATTGGGAGTTCAAAGCTTTACTTTGTACAAGCTTCAGCCAAAAATTTCCATCGCCTTTTTTTTAGTCCAAAGGGGCTTTGTCCTTGAACAACTATTGTTTTCGTTTTGGCACTTTGTGTCGAATCACTTTTCATAAAGGTAACACACAAAATGTTAAAAAAACACCATTTTGGACGTAATTTAAAATCTGAAACCTTTATTTTTTTTTTTATTTTATTTATTTATTTATTTATTTATTTATTTTTTTTATTTTTTTTTTTTTTTTTTAAAGTCCAAAGGGTCTTTCTCTGAAAGATTATTGTTTTCATTTTGCAATTTTGCGTTGGTTCACTATAAATGTCCGTTTAACTTTTCAAACTGTTGCCATCAAATGTTACAGTTCTGCATTACATTTGAAGAAATTAAATAATGAAAAACCTGCATAAATGTATGTTTATTTCTCCCATTGTGATAAAACAATGGTACATAGAGCCATCGAATTTTGAATGACATAATCCTCGTACGAATATGCGCATGTGGAAGCCAAAATTTGAAATTTGGAATTTGTTTTATTATTGATTTTATATTTTGTAAAACTTTTAACGAATTTTTGATTAACAAACTCAAGGATTTCAAAGCGAGCAATGGCAACGTTGTACAGAAAAAACATTTTTATCTCCAGCATGCGAGTCTCTGTATAGGAAATTCTAAAGATATGCTCATTTTAAAACTATTTTGCGATATTGCTGTTGAACTGAATTTTATAGTTTAAACGCGAAGAACGTGATATTTAATAAATAAATGTATTACACAAAATGTTAAAAAAACACCCCTTTGGACGTAATTTATTTTTTAAAATTCAGACAAAGAGAGGTGACTCTCATTTCCTGAAACAGATGTGAAGTTGCGTTGTATATTTCAGCAATGAAAGAGAATGGAAAGAGAAATGAAATAAGGATGATCCCCAGAAAGTGCTGGCTTTTGGTGAAATTAGTCACAAAACGGGTTAGTTCAATTTAGTCCTAATCAATTTAGTTCTAGGTTCTAAACAATTTGAGGGTCAAAATAGAAAGTATTTTCTTCGTAAGAGGACTAAATATTTTTGATGGCATCAAATATGGGTTTTTATTAGCAAACATATATTGAAAGACATGTATTGGAAGTTATGTAAAAAAGCTAAGAGTAATATCTTACTAAACAGATAACTTCCTGTATACCTTGAGTACAGATGACAGTGACATTAAGAAAAAACTTCTGTTAATTCATCCAGAAGTCATGGACAAAGTATTACTTCAATGATGTACTTTACGGTGTCTTTATAGTGAAGAGAGAGTACAATGATGTACTGTACAGAGAATCTTTCAACATACCTGTGCTGAAGACAAAAATTGAGCAGTAGCCAAGTTATTGGGCAATAATTAAGAGTTGCTTGTGTGGGAAGTTAGCTACGAAGATGAAATAAAATGAATAATATTACAAATGAGAAAATTAGTGTAGAAATGCCATCGATGAACTGCAAAATGAAGTCACAGAAACTGCAGCAGCTATTTAATATTTTCAAAAGTGGTGAGAGCAGGCTATTTTATCAACTAATACTGGATAAAATATTGATAAAAGATAAGTACGTACTATTGTGAATATGTGTTACCATATCATGCTCAGGGAAAATAAAATTGCTACTACCAGGAAAATTTAAGAACCTCAAATGTTTATATAGGATGTTTTTAGTTCAGTATTCAGAATTATTCACATTTATAACCAGTCATCAGAAAAATATGAAACTTTGTATATGACATAATAAAGGGATGTTGAGGATATTTAGCTAAGAAGCAACTTTATTCCACTGCAATTCAACACTAAATGTTAGTGGTGCGATTAAAGTTGGAGTTACAACTAACTCTACTACCTCTGAGGAGGAATCTGTCCTCCAGAAAGAGCAACCAATGATTCTCTAGCTTCAACGTTCACTGTCATTCTTTTGGAAGCCTGAACCTGTTCAGAGCCCTATCAAAATCTAAACCATCTCTACAGCAGTTGGTGCAAAACTGACACTTCAATAAAATAATTTAATTAACAAAAGGAGAATGTGTAAACTTAAGATCACTGTGAGTGGTGAGCCCACTGGAAGCAAATACTCTGTGAATGTTTGTAGGTTTTGTAACTCTCATTAAGTAGCATTGAAGATATCTGTATCTCTATTACAGATGTTTCACATTAAAATACTCTCTTATGGCAAGATATGGAATTATATATTTGGCTAAATGCCACTCCCTTGCTTTTACTGTATCATAAGCGAAGTTTTATACTTTTGTTTTACTACTGGTTATGGCTGTAAGTAGCTTTGAATAGGGAAACTTTAAATACAGACACCAAGTAAATGTATACAACTTTCAATGAAATGTCAATTTAACAATAAAATCAAGATGACATAATCTATTTCTTAAAATTCTGCTCCTGGTGGACAATTGCATAATTAATCTCAGTGTTAAAAATTTAGAATTCAAAAGGAGGCAACATGCTTTTATTCCCTCATTTATTCAAGTCCTTCCATTAAATATATCAAGGCATTAGCTATATTTATTACTAGCCTGTCATTCATGCTCTATTTAATATCTCTATTGACACCATGACAACAAGCATTATGTAACGAACCTGAATTTTATCACATAAGTAATAAAAGTAATTAATATTTTAATAAAAGTAATAATAATAAAGTAATTAATATTTTAATTCATCAAAATAAGCTACATATTGAAGCATAATATAAACAAAAATATATTAAAATACATGAGCAGAAATCTTACCAGAAGAATTACGTTTATGGTAAATGAGTAAATCTCTCAATGAATCTCCCAAATTGCCTTGTACCATAGAGATAGTGTCCTCCTTTCGCTTGCTTGCTTTGAATATAGCACCACCTGACTTAAGCCTAAAAAATATATAATTGCATATAAAAAAATGGTGTAATTAAATGCTTCAAGATAAAAACAAAAATGAAAACTGAAACAAAAAAAGCTATTTTGTGGCACAAATGTGCTAACTAAAAGCAAACAAATATTAACATATAAAAAAATGCTTCAAGATAAAAACAAAAATGAAAAATGAAATAAATAAAAGCTATTTCATGGCACAAAGGTCCTAACTAAAAGTAAACAAATATTACAAATTTCTTTTCATAATGATAAATTTTCAAAGAAAAGGAACATTTTAACACCAAATTTGGATAATGATGATTATGCAAGTGCCAAGATCAGAGAAACAACTCCAATAAAATATAAAATAAAGGTGTAAGACATGTGGATTGATAAAATAATGATTGTTTTATTAAATACGTTACATAGCAAACAAATGCAGAATACTAAGGCATATTATCAACCTGATATTTAAACAACTAACAAATTATACAAACTCAAATAAAAATTCAACAAACAAACAGATAAAAGTATGGGGGAATGACATCTGAAAAAATTTCAATGATAACTTTCCCAATTTTAAAATACAAATATTTACACAAAGTTTATGCTTACATCTCAGTCCAGTAGATTTCATCACCATATACAGCAATAGATACAGGTTTTTCAAGCACATCATGGCTAATTATTACTTCCCTTCTACTTCCATCTAAATTAATTCTTTCAATTGTATGTGTGCGAGCATCAGTCCAATACAATTTATCTTCTTCAAAATCAATGGCCAAATCTTGAACTAACTGCAGGGAAGACTTGATGAAGATCCGACGTTGGCTTCCATCTAATGCAGCAGTTTCAATTTTAGGTGGAACTTCCCAGTCACACCAAAACATGACACTAAAAGCAAAAGTGGGAGATTACATCAGATATATTACGCCGCTCAGCTCTTCATGTTTTTAGAAATTATGGACAAAAACTAAATTTTTTTTTCGGCATGCAACTAAATATTTTCCTGTTATACCATGCCATATCTACAGTTTTCCTTTGCTCTAAGATATTGCTTCAATACTTAACCTTTTTATTTAACTTTCTTCTTTAGTATAGCAGCCTTCTAACACTTAAAAAAGTATCTGAAATTGATTTTGATACTTAAAACTGGTTAAATCCAAAACAATTAGATTGCAAAAATTGATAATTCTTATATAAGTGTATTAATATTTTATCTTATCCTATTTTTAAAAAATAATCTTTTGTAATACATTTTTCAGTTTAAATAAGATACTTTCCAAATATCTACATAATAAATTAAAATTACATGAATGAAATTTAAAATTCATGAATTTAATTAACATTTCTGAGAACTATTTAAAAATTCATGAAAGCAGTCTTAAAACTTTTTACAACCATAAAATTATTATCCTAATACGGATTAACACAAAGGAATTTCACATTTTAAATGCACTTTAATAAGATATCTAAGAATTAGTAGCTTTTTTGGATAGAAAAACCTTTTCCTTCATAGGTCATCATTTTTTAACAAGGAAGTGGGAGAAGAATAATACAATTTACTCACCCCTGGTAAGGATGAACAACTAAATTCCTCGGTTTTGACATACTTCCAGATACCACAACATATCTGTTACTTCCATTCAGATGGGAAACTTCTATTGCACCAAATGTTGCATCAATCCAGTACATGTTGCCTATATTATCATTACTTTAATTGATATTGTACAGGAAAGTAATTTTAAACAAGTAATAATATATTAAAATTATTTTTTATGTTTTATGTTACCATAAATGTAACTGCTAGTAATATTTTTGAAGTTTTCTATATAATACTGAAATTAAAGCATAGGCAGTAAATTTGCTGATTAAATTGTAAAATTATAAAACAAATAACCCCCCAATAACCCCCCCCCCTCCAAAAAAAAGAGCATTTATTTTACAAGCACCTCATTCAACAAGGATGAAATTATTACAATTCTGGGCTGCCTGCAAGCACAGACAGGGTTCGTACACGTTTCTGCACATGGAAATTAAGTACTTTTAAGGACCATTAATGAAAAAAAATTAAGGATCCATCAGCCAATAAGAGCTAAAAAATTGAATTCAATCAGCTTATATCTGAATTTCACTTTTGTAATAACATTCTAAGAATAAAATAGATCCGTGAGTAGGATGCATTCTTATTAAACATAACTTTAAAACAAATTTGAGAACGAAATCCACATTATAAAATTTATCAAATAGCATTAAATATTTTACACGTATAATACTTGAACATATTTGAAAGAAGATTGGGGACATTTCATTTACATTTTATTAACAACTTTATGCTGATTTTTTCTTTTATGTCTCATTTTGCCATGTACTTACTCAGTCTAGAGGTTTAGTAAATTTTATGTCAAATGACATAGGTTAAAATGAGAAATAAAAATCATAATTAGCATGATTTGTAGCAGAAGATTAACTGTTGCTAGTGCTGCTGCTTGCCAATATAGAGACCTGTTGATCAGAAAAAAACCTGAAAGCCTGTTGTAGGTAAGGTATTTCTCCCACATTTCTTGGCATGTCTTCGTGGTGTGGTGGTCTGCACACTCGGCTCATATTTGAGAGGCCCACAGTTTGATTTCCGGCAAAGGCTTTGCATATTTTTCATTTTTCCTGCTTCCAAAAAATGCCTAATGTCTCTACAGAGCAGCCCGAACTAAAAGGGTGGTGGATGATGATTCTCCTCACCCAAGATTTGGTCATTGGTTCCCCTAAAAACCTAGTTGCCTTTTAAAAGGGGGAGTATATAAGGTATTTTTCCTGCCTTCTTGGCATGCCTTCGTGGTATGGTGGTCTGCAGGCAGGGTGCGTATTCCATAGGTCCGCGGGTCAGTTCTCGGTGAAGACACTTTTTCATTTGTTCCTGTTTAAAAAAAGTCCTGATGTCTCTACAAATGTTGTACCTTCATACAGAGTTTCTGGGATTGTAACCTGGTTAATATATTTTAAGATTCCAATAAGCCACTAATATAGCAGACGTGATAAATTGTTTTGTATTATTTTAAGTCTCATTAGATGCAAAGAACAAGTTTACAATAATTTTTACAATTCCGTGCCATATCTTGTGGCCACAGTAATGATTATTGAAAAGCAATAACTTCCTTTAATACACATAGATAACTTTTAAAAATGAGCAGTCAGTTATAAATAATTAAATTAGATAGTTAAATACTCTCAGTTGTTAATTCTTTTTTTATATAAATGACTGTCAAGGCGAAAAGATTAGAAACATTTTTGGTATTTTCGATGCTTGTATCTAGTGAAAAGTTGAGAAAATAAAGAGAAGATAAAACAGTTTAAGAAAGAGACTTCTAGCATCAGAAGTACAACATTCAAACATTATATTTTCCGTGTCCTTTCAAAAATTCTTCACAATGTATGAAATTCATCATAAAATTTTTGTAAAAGACATCCATTATGTTTTAATACAACGAAGCTATTTTTTTATTTTGTCACATTTTAATGGAGCCTTCTAGAATTGTGGGTCTTCAAATCCTTCTAAACTTTCTATGTTGCAATGTCTAAACTCCTAAAGAAAAATTAGCCCTACCAATTCTGTAATAGAAAAAAGGCCAGAAATAGTTTGAAAAAAAAATCAGTGGAAAAAAGTGTGAAATTAATTTTATAGAGGAAACTGATGCATATTCTAATAATTTTGAATATTCTGAAAAAATTACATGGGAAAACTTTTTACCATTAAAAAATTGAAAGGAAGAAATTTTTAATTAATTACATAGCTATTTTGCTTTTTGCTATGAATTGTTTTGTAAACTGTGCTTTATAACATTTATTATCTTGTTTATTTTTCATATTAAAAATACTGTATAATAAGTCGCCTAAACAGAAAGTAATGTCTCTTCATAATATGACAGCAAAAAAATATAAATGTTCTATTTTAATTTTATTTTTTAAATATAATTTCAATATATAGCCATTAATTTAGTTAAATTTATCAATGTTGTATTGTTTTTTTAAAAAAAAATCGACGAAAAATTCCCAGATCTCCGAATAAAAAATTTTCTATAGAAAGTGGTATTAAAATTGCCAAAATGCTGATAAGTCACCAAATTTCGAGCCGTTTTATAAAAGAATTCACATCCACAAAAGCGGAAAGTTGTTTAAGAGCTAATTTTGAAATGCTTTTGTTTCACTTCTTGTTCAGAAAATCCAAGTACCCTTTATATTTGAAATACGAGGGCTATCCAGAAAGTAGATTACGTTTTGGAATAAAAAATAAACAAAGTATAGGAAACAAATTTTATTATATACAGATGAAAGCCACACTCAAATACTACTTTCTACATAGTCACCATACAATTAAGGCATTTATCGTAGCGATGTACGAGCTTGGAAATTCCTTCGTCGAAAAAATTCGGCCGCCTGCGCCTTCAACCACTTCGTTACCTCTCTCTTGCAGCTGCTGTGCGTCGTCATCAAAACGCTGCATAGCCAGCCACTTCTTCATTGCTGGGAATAGGTGGAAGTCGCTCGGTGCCAGGTCGGGACTGTACGGCGGATGAGGAAACAACTCCCACTTAAAAGATTCAAGAACTTTACGAGTGACATTTGCCGTGTGGGGCCGGGCGTTGTCGTGAATCAACAAGATCTTAGAGCTCAACATTCCTCTGCGCTTGTTTTGAATTGTTCTTCTGAGTTTTTGGAGAGTTTGGCAATACCTTTGAGAGTTTATTGTAGTGCCTCTTTCCAGGAAGTCCACCAAAATTACACCTTTTCTGTCCCAAAAAAACAGTCGCCATCATCTTCCTTGCCGACATTGTTTGCATGCATTTCTTGGGTTTTTGGGGAGAACTTGTGCGCCCCCACTGCATTGATTGCAATTTCGTTTCACAGTTCACATGTTTCACCCCCATGTTTCGTCACCAGTAACGATGCGATCGAGTAAAGAGTCACCATCCTTATGGTAAGCGTCCAAAAAGTTCAACGCTGCAGCCATTCGCTGATTTTTGTGGTCCTCTGTCAAGATTTTTGGAATCCTCTTGCACAAAACTTGTGGTAACCAAGCTTTTCGCTGATGATTTTGTGCAACAAACTTCGCGAAATTTGTGGAAAACTCAAAGAAAGTTCCGTTATTGTGAAATTTCGATTTTCACGGACTTTAGCATCGACTTTTTCGAGAAGTTTCGGCGGTCACTATGCTGGGTCTCCCACTTCGATCTTCGTCGTGAACATTGGTTCGGCCATTTTGAAATCTTATGACCCACTGACGCACTCCACCTTCAGTTGATAATGTTGTCCCCATACACTTCACGAAGCTGCCGATAGATTTCTATCGGTTTACAGTTTTTTGCAGTCAGAAACCTTATTACTGAGCGCACCTCGCAGCTCGCGGGATTTTCAATTAACGCAGACATTTCAAACCGTCACAGTATCTGAACGGAGCACAGCACGAACCTCTCACTAGCACGGCTAGATGCAGACTGAGCTGCGCAACGCTCTGACCCCCAAGATGGCCGCGCTAGCCCCGCCCCTAGCGGACACAGACGGAAACGTAATCTACTTCCTGGATGGCCCTCGTAGGAACAAATTATAACCCATGAACTCATTCAAAAGATAATCATATTCATCAGTGAATTGCCAAAAACAGTCCTCCAAAATGATAATTCACACTCAAAACAGCAGTTGTAAGAACAAGATCGAAATTTCAGATGATTAAAATTAAGGACCTTCTGACGATTTTGGCCGAAATTAAAGACTTTTAAAGACCAAAAATCGATTTAAAAAAATTTAAGGACTCTTAAGGACCATACGAACCCTGACAGAATATTAATAACTGAATCACCTGCAGCCATGATGGGCAGCAGTAATCATTCCTACAAAGCTGAATACAAAGTGGAATAGATTCTATATGGCAGACTTAGAATATTAAGAGTTCTTATTTTCCAAACACAATTTTCTGAAGCCAATGGTATCACTGTTGCATTGTCTCTACACAACTCTGAAGTAAATATTTCCAGTTGGCAAAAGATGTAGTGAACATGTGACCCAAGGTAGAAATGGCACATGATAACTAGCAAGGAAGGTCAGACAATATTTGATTGCCTGTAATAAAAAGGCGGTGCCTGCTATTTTATTGTCTTCTGTATCAATCAACTGCAGGACATTATATGTAATTTTTATCTCCAACTCTTATGTTTCAACAAGTGTGACTGACATATTCTGAAGCCTGTAAGTACCATAAAACAAATAAGCAATTACTGCATTATGTGATGATAGAAGCCTTAACAGGAAAATAAATTGTGCTGAAACAAAAGTCAAGCTTAATGTGGAATGTTGTGTCCTTGCATCTAACCATTCTATTAACAACTGACTCAAATACATGTAGTCCAGAAAGCACAATGAAGCAATAAAAATACAACTCTACTATTCACACTGACATAACCAGATAATGAAATACTGCATGTATTGACACAGATAAATATGCATTACACCGTTTATGGAAGGGAAATAAGCCTCAGATACAGTCAATCAATTCTAGACACAATTATTGTAAAAATCTATTTTCATTTAATGTAATTTAAATTAATTTGTAAATCAATTGTAATTTAATCTTGCATGTTCATAAACCATGACAAATGATAATGACCAAAGAATGGAAATTTTAATTTTTTGGGATGTATGTGTGCATATTACACTACTGCATGACTTAACATAATTACATTCTGAAATGAACCAAAAAAATCTAGATACGTCAATGTGTGAACAATGGCGTTAGATATAGGTATTACACTCCAAAATGGGATCCAAAATTATGCTGAGTTCATGATTCACAAAGATTTGCTTTCATTATCACTATGATTACAGTATAATACTGCAGTCAGCTTTATTACCCAGCTTGGAACTTAAGAAGACAAAAGAAGCGTGACAAAACAAATGTGGAGAGGACTGGAGAGAAGAGCAGGCATGAAGAAAAGTACAAATGTACTTGAGAAAATAATGCCTACTTTACAATGCCTGAAAGCATAATGATAGATGACTCATCAAAAAGTGTCTGACTTTAGATCAGACGTTTTACCTAATTCATTACATTCTCCATGCATAAGATTTACAAACAATTATTTCAATAGACTGAGATGCTTTTCATACAAATTATACACCACAAATTAAAAAAAATTCAAGATGAGACTTAATCTTACATAATCAGAAAAGTTTTATTCAGGTGGCATTTGCTAGCAAACAAAACACTAGCATCAAAATTAGAATAAAATTATTAAAATGTTCTTATTTTCCATAAATTTGCTATCAACACAGTAAATTAAATAAAAATTTTATAAAAAATTTATTATGAAAAGCAAGCTATGTTTAGCATATCATTTATCCTTTTAACATTTTACCTAATATATTAAAGGAATATTTTACTTAACAAACCATATGCATTTAAGAGCCTTAAAATTCAGTATGTACAAGAATATTTCCTTCTACATTATAACAGCAATAAAGTCTTTAAATAATGAGCATTTAAGGTGAAAACAGAACAAAAAATAATCATGAACCTTTTTTAAAATTTGCCTTATGTTAAATAATCGGCAGAGTAACTGCAAAATATAGCACAGGGAGTTATACATTCAAACCTAACTATAGTGAATCTGTTTATAACAAAGCCCCTCATATAACAAATGAAGTTTTTGGTTCTGTGTAATCTCCTTTATACTTAATGTTATTTCATGACATAAGACAACAAAAAGGATTGGATTGGATGGATTATTCAGTTATGGCAAAGCACGAGGGCTATCTGCCTAAAGGGAGGGATGCCTTTTCATGGAGGACTTTCTAAGGGAAACTGGCTCGTATACACGTTACACATGGGGAAAATCACGAAAACGCCCATGCAGCCAGCCTGTTCACGGGATTCGAACTTCGGACCGAACTACCAGTGTTCAGCGTCTTTACCGCTCAGCCGCTGGTGGGCAAGACAACAAAAAGAAATTTAATAGTAGTATGTAATAAGAATTGTAAGTAACCTTTAATATGATTTTTTGATTGAGAGTTATTATTCACTTCTTTAATGAGATGTTGCTAATTGGCCTTTATTATGATTCATCAAAAAGATTCATTATTGTGGGGTTCAACTGTATGTTTCAGCAAATATCACTGAAATATTAATTTTTAATATATACAGTTTAACAGATACTAAATTAAAAACTCCTTGCATATTATGGAAAAACCAGAAGAAATTAGCATTTCAGAGTTATGTAACAAGCAGATGAAGCTGTGCTGCAGATGAAGTAAGTGTTTTAATAGCATGATGACACCAGAATGATATTCTGATGGACATGAAACTTCAAACTGATGGATAAACAGGAAAAAAAAAAGTCAAGCAGAATAGTTTAAAATATTACAGCCATGATCATACAAAATTGTGTATAGAAAACATTAAAACCACAACATTATATGTTGGTATGCAATGGGAGAAGGAACGTAATCACAATCTAAAACTGCAAGATGATAGATAATACCAAATTGTGTTGAATATGGAGACAATTCCAGAATAAGTGATGATTACTAAATACCCAGCATCAAACATCATATGGCAATATCACTTCTATATGACTGCTATATAGCAGTAACAGTTTAATGCGACAGTTGACAATATCTTGCACAAGAAATTAAAGCTTCATTCATGTAAAATTCAACCAGTGAAAAAAGTGCTTCAAACAATCACAAGCACAACATAAATTCATGTAGATATGATGAAATGAGTTAAAAACAATGAAAGCTTCTTAGTACTATCATCTTCACTGATGAATTCACATTTCATATATCATGTACTGCGAACCCCTACAACTACAGGATATGGACTAGTGTATAGTTTAAATTTATAATTTAAAGATCGCACAGAATTGTAATTTGCCAATGGAGAAATAATAGTGAAAGAGAATGCATTAAATATAAATTTCTTGTAATTTAATTTCTAGAGCCATATCTTCGATCCAATGATTTTTGTACCCATAACTATTCATTCAGTATTACAGATTGCTAATCTGAAGACTGTAGTACAAGATTTTGTCAATTTACAAAAGCTTTTTATTCAAAAGGAAATCTTTCATTATAAAAGAAAATATTCAGATAGGTAAACATTCTATGAGTAGAGTATTAAAACGGCTTTTCTTTCATCTAATTATCAAATCTAATAATTTAGGTCTTTTTCTGGCATCACAAGCACAACTTGTGATGCCAGAAATCAGAAGTGGTGGTCATTTTATTCAGTACACACCTAATAGGCAGCCACCATTGCTTCCTATCAAACAAGCACAACTTGTGATGCCAGAAATCAGAAGTGGTGGTCATTTTATTCAGTACGCACCTAATAGGCAGCCACCATTGCTTCCTATCAAGGACAGACAGTTACAACCATGCCTTTTCAGGACTCGGATCCAGGCTCTTTGGTACTGCAAAGCCAACTCAGTGGCTTACTCCCCTAACCACTATAACATCTGAGCAGCAGCAGCAAAATTAGTTCCATATAATTTCATTCCACTAAAATACTACTCCTTGGTTTAACAATAATCTAAATCTAAGCATGCTTAATAGTTTTTTTATTGGCAGAAAAAGCCTTGGTTTAACAATCTAAATCTAATCTCCTTGAAGCTTGTCTTGAATCTAATCTTGAATTACTATTAAGCATGCTTAGATTTAGATTATTGTTAAACCAAGGAGATCTAAATCTAATCTCCTTGGTTTAACAATAATCTAAATCTAAGCATGCTTAATAGTAGTTTTTACTGGCAGAAAAAGCAATTAGGATGAGAGAAATGGAGAAGAAAAATGCATATTAGAAGTCAATGAACTAGAAAAAATATTGCAAGTCAAATATAATTTTTTTAAATATTTCTATAAGGAAAAAAAAGAATGTTAAATTAAGGTATATAGTAAAGTTTTTAATAAACTATAATAAGAACTCAAATTTTTAATATAATTCAGAAATTTTGGAAAATATTACACGTTATTAAATATTAAATTCTAAAGGAAGAAAGCAAAATTATGTAGCATCTAGACATGTAATACTCAAAAGTATTTGGATTGTAATATGCTTAGAAAATGACCATATGATGACTTTTGGATCATATATAATACATTCTGTGTTTACAGGTACACTGTGTTTTATACAAATACATCATAAATTGTAAAAGGATCATAGTTATATCATAGAACAATGAGAAAATTTCACATGACTATATTGAATATTTTCAATGATTTAACGATATTGAATATTACTGAAATATTTTAATTCCTTGAAGAGTATAACGTCTTATTGGATTAATAAAATGTTGTAATTATCTGTTTTACTGAAGCAATTGTCTAGAATAGGAGCACTGTGACATTACACTAGTCATTTAAAAAGTAGTACAGTGTCGCTTGATATCCATTCACATCTTTAATGACCTTACATTCATACCATTTTATATACTACATTCATGTCACTCTATGACATTATATCAAAGTTGCAGTGTGCCCTCACAACAACTTCACAATGTTGCAGCCTGAATATGCATCAACGTCACAGTGTGACTTCACAACATTGTCAAATTAAGACTTCACTTTAACGTCACAATATGATGGCACAAAAATGTTGCAGTCAGATGTCACATAAATGGGACATTAAGCCACACCTACAACCCCACTGTGACATTCAGATCTACATATTGTGACAGGTTTGCAATGTGACAGCAACGTCACCATGCTGTTGAGGTGTGTCTGCTGTTAACTTTTTTCCACAAATTATACCACAGCTGCAGAGTGTCCTTGTACATAATACTGTGACTGATTGCCTTCTTAAATTATGAGACTCTTAGGTAGCAGCAAGCAAAGATCATGAATTTCTGTGAATATGTGGGGTGATTTCACAATCTCCTAATAGATTAACTCATTTTGTCTTTTTATTATGTTTGCTTTATTCTAATTCCATCATGTGTATATCCACTTCATATTGCATTTATTTGCTGCTGTTCATGTTACACCTATACTGAATGAATTATAACAACTCCAAACATCAATATAATTCATTTCTGGTTTCAGTAATTTCGCTTTAAAACTGCAGTGTACTTCTTATAATATATAATGCATGATTTAGTAAATATTCAAGGCCAAAGAGAAAAAGAAATCTTGTAATAAATATCTTATGTAGAATTTTAAATAAAACATTTTCCATGAAAATATAATAATTAAACAACAATAAAAATTCACCTGCAATCCAGTCAATGCTAAAACCTTCAATAGAATCAAGGCCTTGGATAACAATCTCTCTTTGAGTCATATCACGTTTAACTCTAGTTATAGTTCCAGCTTCATTATCAGTCCAGTACAGATAATCCTCAGCTTTATCATAATAATAATAATAACAAAAATTGTACTTATGCAAAATAATAAACTAATATGGAAAAAATACTGATTTATACAGAAAAAATTACACTGAATGCTGTACCAAAGAATTTGCTACTGCTAAATAATAATATGGCAATGAACTTACAAAATTAATTTGCTGATTATAAACATCAATTATATTATCACATATAGTTTATCTGAAATGAGCTATAAAGTATGCTTGTATATTTTAGACACTGAAAAGACCCCTCCAAAAAAAAAACTTTTTACAAGTACACATTTGTTAATCGCGAACTTTCAAAAGTATAAAATTTTTTGCATAGAAAAATAAGTATTATTTTATCTTTACTGTTATTAATTAATAATCATTCCTCGTTAATTACCATTGATTTCTTATTAATCAGAATGTATTACGATGAAGAACAGCATCTTTTAGCTACTACATAATTAATTGATAATTTAAATAATCAAAACTTTCAGATTAATTCTACAGAATTAAAAAATAATTGAATAGAAATATCAGCATATCAGAAAATATTCAATATCTGAAATTTAGAATTATCAAGGCCACAAGGAAGTAGAAAAATCTTGTAGTATACAAAAAAATTAATACATAAAAAATTACAAATGCATTAAATTTAGTAATAAGCAGCAAAACGTTTTAATCTAATGGCAGGCACTTGCTTATTTAGCACTGGCCATTCCTAAGGTCAGAAGTGGTGGTCATTTTAATCAGGACGCACTTAATAGGCAGCCACCATTGCTTCCTATCAAGGACAGACAGTTACAACCATGCCTTTTCAGGACTCAGATCCAGGCTCTTTGGTACTGCAAAGCCAACTCAGTGGCTTACTCCCCTAACCACTATAACATCTGAGCAGCAGCAGCAAAATTAGTTCCATATAATTTCATTCTACTAAAATACTACTCCTTGGTTTAACAATAAACTAAATCTAAGCATGCTTAATAGTACCTATCCTGTGTTCTTTCATTAAAAAGATAGATTCCTTAGCTTTACAGTACTTATGTAATACTTCATATCACTGTATGACATCAAGCACTAAAGTCACAAAGGACTCATATCATTCAGAAAGTAAGCACTATTTCATTAAAAAGTATTTTTTAAGAAATTTTATTTTCAGAAGATATTTATACATCTCAGACTACATCCTGCATAGTACTTATTATAGTCCTCACAAATTAATATATATCTTCTTCATAGGAAATAGCTGTCCATAATATTAGCCATTTCTACACTTTATTTTTGGTCATCATTCTCAAAATGATGATTTATAGAAAAGTTTTAGATATATAAAGAAAGAAAACTTTCACAAAGGATGGTTTAAATGTGTCTATCTAAGTGAGGAGATGAGGTAAAATATATAAAAAGAATTTATGTATCACAGTTTCTAAAAGTAAATTTAAAAAACGTTTTTTAACAAAATACAGATAATTTCAGCATAGAAAAAATAAAATACATGAAACAACTAAATATCACTTAATTATTTTGATGACAAAAAGAATATAAATAATATACACTTAGTTTTCAGTAAAATGCCACTGTCATTGACTTAGTTTTCAGTCAATGACACAAACAAAATGCAAAACAAAAATATACTAATAATAATAATCAGTATGAATACCATCATAAAAATCCAATGATGAAGCCATTTGAATACGAGATACTGGAGCAAGCACTGGGATATTTCTCTTATCTTTATCCAAGGAAAGGCCATGAATTTCTGAATTCAAAGAATATAGTAGGAAGGCACTATTTCCTATAAATAAACATATGTAAAGAAATAAATATCAAATTAGCATCTTAATACAATATTCAATTTTTGCATTTAAACATGATAATAAAAACAAATGAATTTATAATTTGAATTCAAGCTATGCAAAAACTATGTAGCTCAAGCAAAATTATCACATGTACTTTTTCTTTACATTACAGATGCATGAGAAAAAGACTGCAATATATTTAACTAATTTCCACCTTACTACTTCATGAAAGCAATATTTATCAAAAAATACAAACACTTAAAAAATTAATTCTGACTAATACTGATGGAGGGTTATAAAGCAATTCAAATTTTGTTGTCAAGAACTCATTTTGAAACTAAAATATCATCCAGTGTAGCAATTTTTCCTGATTTAATAATGATGCATGTAATATAATTCTTGAATGGAAGATTGTGTTTGTGTTTTTTCTGAAGAAGAATATTCTGCAGTTGAGAAACATTGCATAAATCATGGCAAGAGCATTTTTAAATACAAAATAAATAAGAAAATATTCATATTATAAGAAAAACTATCAGACATTGCTTGCTTGCAAGAACAATAATAAAAGCTGGAAATGGTACATATGTTTACAACTCTGTCAAAAATAAAATCTCGAACCTCAAAAGGAAATATCTTACTTTAGTCAATCATGATGTATATTCACACAATGAAAAAGTAATAAATTAAATCCTGAAAAGCTCTTCCCCAAATGAAAATGCAAAGTATTCATCGGCCTAGGCACGCAGTTAAACTGAAAACATGTTATGACTTTTGACTGAATTTATTTAATATAACACAGCTTAACCCTTTCCAGCACGCTACCTTTTAACGTCGGAGTGTTGATAAAAATAAATAAATAAATAAATAAAAATAACAAACACCCCCCCCCAAAAAAAAGGTAGGCAGTCTAATTAGTCCTAGAGGAGTACACAAGTAAAATTTTGTGAAGATAGCACTTATCCTTTTAATTCTGTGGGTGTGCCCAAAGTGGCTTGAATAGAGCTTCGAAACAAGCACTGTTGTCAATGAACTGACCGATGAGATGCGAAGAAACAAAGAAACAGACTCTCCAGTTGTCCTAGACCGGTGAGCCCGGTCTGGGCACACCTAGGGTTCACCGTTTGATTTTAGGCAAGATTTCATGGTAAAAATTTAAAACTAATATAGAATAAGAAGATTAGCATACAGCCAAAAAAAAAAAAAAAAAAAAAAAAAAAAAAAAAAAAACATAGAAATTTCTTTTCAAGCAATTCCTTTCATACCCTAAAAAAAATATGGAAGATTTCTTTGAAAAATAAGGGTCTTAAAAAAACACATGGCTAAAATATATGGACTGGTTTGTGTTGAGCTGCCATCTACTATAAATAAAGAAGGTTCAGAGTAACCTACAGTAACCTATAAATTCGTTTTCATTCGATTTTTCAGCGCATACAGAAGGAAATTTTTAGGTGTGTCCAGACCGGACACGCTGTGCCGCAAAGACTGACTTAACTTTCTCTCTCTGATGCCAGACCAAAAACAGAATATAGTATCTAGTTAACCCATTAGCTGCTGGTGTTGTGTTGATGCAACAGTAAAATTAAATGCGTATATAAATGTAACTACCTAAGATATTTTATACCAGATGATTTTGTGTAGGGAATATTATGAAGATTACTTCTGTAAAAAAATATTTGCTTTCAACAATCATTTTACTTATATTAATTAATCTCATACTTTAAACAAAATTTAAGCAAAATTTTCGACCAGGTATTTTTGCCGAAAATATTTAACGAAAGAATCGTCGTCTTTATGAGTGGTCTATTTTTAGTCAAGGTCATTGTTTATCAGAACATTAGGGCAATCAGATGTTTATATTTGTGTTGGGTAGGCAGGGAAAACCGCTGACGCAACGTCAGCAGGAAACGGGTAATCTTCTCTTTTTTTTTTTTTTTTTTTCTCATTCCTTTTGATGTTCTGGCTGCTTTAAAAATGTCTATAACGAGGTATCTTACATTAGAAGAAGCCCTTTAAAGATTTTTTGATGAAGAAACAGATGATGATAATGTTAATAATGACCAGAATGAAACTGATATTGTTGTTGTTCCCCCAGAAATTGCAGGAGCTAGTGATGAAGAAGAAGGGAATGACAATGTTTTAAACAATGAAAATGATATTTTACCAAATGATATTGCTGGGGAAGTTAAAATTCACGTAAGAAATAAGTTTCAGCCTTCTAAAAGCAGTGGTAGTCATACGAAAAATTTTAAAAAGCAGAAAACTGAAAACTTGAAGTGGATAAAAAAGGAAAAGTAAGTTATGTTTCAGGAAGAGAGATAGAAGAGAAACTACAAAAGACAAAATACAAGGTAAAACTAGTGGAGAGATTTTCGATTTTCTTTTTGGTTTAGACATTTAGTCTCTTCTCGTTGATCAGACAAATATATACGCTCACGAAAAAAATCTCCCAGAATTTTATTATATCTGAAGCCTATATGGGAAGATTTATTGGAATATTATTGGTTATGGGATATCCTTCTTTACCTCAAGAAGAAATATATTGGTCTCTTGATAAGGACATTTCTGTTCCTATTGTACAAAAATCGATATCACGTTTGCAGTACAGGAATCATATCACGTTTGTATATGAAGCAGAATTTGCATTTAGCTGACAATAGTCAAACTGACAATACCGATAAATTATATAAGGTGAGACAGTATCTAAACTTACTAAATGATCACGACTTTCTACTACTGGAAATAAAAAGTCTTTTAGATTTCAGGCACGAGATTGCATTATTCCTTTTGCAAACTCCTATCGAGAGTGTAGAATTCGCCAGAAATAGATCAGCAACAAGGGAAGACCTAGTAAATTCTGCATTCAAAAAAACCACTGCATGGAGATGGTAGATATTTTATTGTAAAGTCCGATGATAACAAAAGACTTTCGTAGTAAAGAGGTGCCATAGCCAGACTGTTATAGATACAAAGTATGTAATGTAGCTTTACATCATGATTGTAGTGACACTTTTCATGCTTGAATCTTTCAATTGAAATAATCTGTATATGTAAAAAAAAAAATATAATGTATATTTTAATATTAAATATATTAAAGTGATTTGTAGATTTAAAACGTTGTACAGCTAAAAGGTAATCCAGTGCTCCACTCAAAGTAAACATCGCATGAGTACAATCCTATTCACTAAACATCCGTAGTCTTATTCCGCTGACGTTTCGCGAACACAACACTCGCTTTTTCCACAGGTAAGAGCATTTTTTTTTATTTTCAATGTAAATTTCTGTTATAAATGCCTAGTTTAATATTTATTATTATTTTCATGAGAAAAGAATCATTCCTTGTAGTTTTGGCGGTTAACGGGTTAAAATTAACTGAAAGCAGTGAAGAAATACTCATACATATCAATCAAACAGTTCTCTGCAATACAATAAAATTCAACAATAATCATCCATTGTAATAAGAATAGAAGAAGTGGTTAATACATGTATAACATAGCTAGTGTTTTTTTTTTTTTTTTTTTTTTTTTGGGGGGGGGGGTCCATTAACTCATAAAAATATAAAAATAGTTAACAATACCCTAAGTAATACAACCTCCATGTTCTTTTAAAAGCCATGGACTCGTACAGATGAAGTGACGGCACAAACCATCAAATAACATAACTCAAATAAAACATAAAATATTTACCCCTAAACATCTTTGTTAATTTCTAGATTATCATACCAAAGTAAGACAGCTGGCCAGACTACCCCTACGAATTTCCTGAAAGGGTAACAATACACATAAGTAGACTCATGCGGTGGAATTTTAAACAATACTTCTTCATTCATTTCTAATTTTTTAAACAGGGATCCATAAGAGAAAACAATAACTGTCCTACTATTATTAATTTGGTTTACTCTAAACATCAAGTTTCAATTTCAAGACATAAACGATTATTTTAAATTATTATCAATGATATAAATCCTGCAATACCATTTGGTATTCCTCGTAAGAGAATCTAAATTAGAGTTTTTAACATTACATACCTACAAGTCAATCGAAGAATTCAAACTATTTCCTTAACCCTGAAACTCCCCCGTGGAAATATAAAGCAGCAAAAAAATTTTGATTCACACAACTACGTCCAGATATCCAGCAGCTGTCTTCACTTCCACAACCTAGATACAATGTCAATGGGTCTTCATATTGTTTCTTGTCATACACATCATTTTCCTCAACCTGGTTTCTCAGTGTATATATCGTTCCTCAAAGTGGAGTATCGAATCATACAAAAGGACACTGATGTAAGTTGTATTCCAAGCTGCACTGGTGATGAAAACTAAGGAGTTCATTTAACGCAAATAGTTGTTCTCAGCCAGCTGATAAATTAACTCTGTTTATGAAAGTCATGTGGGGAAAATGCTGCTTATCTCATTTGAGGAGAAATCTGTAACTCCATCAATGTAATTTAAAATTACTGAAGATTGTCAACAAGAAGAATCCAGAAGGACTGCTAATAATGCTTTAAAATTATCAACTAATGGAGAGGTAGTATAATATTACTTTTTGAGACACAGCAAGACAAAATTTCAGCATGTTTCACCCAAAGCACTCATCCAAGACAAAATATGGGCTCCAGCTCATGGGCGCAGGCAGGCTTGCAGTATGGCAACTGCCCTGATCTCTTTATTCACTTCTAGATCATTTCAGACCAAACTTAAAATTCCAAACTGACACTAAACTTCTGTACAAGCCTCGAAGAAAACTCAATTTCTCCACCCACCAAATTCTACAGAAAATTAAACATAAAATAAAGTTTGACCAACCAGAAGGATTTTCCCTATTTTGGTTTTTATTACTTCCAATCTCCCCAGTGAATAGAAATGGAAATGCTGCTACAATGACAATATGCAGACATCTGCAAAGTGAATCACCCTAGAATGTGAGAAACAGAAATTCGACCCCTTCTAACTATTGCAAACAAGCAGCTCTCAACAAGCTCAAGCAAAGTAATCACTGCTGCTCTTAAAAAATAAGAATTTACAGACACCTCTCCATTTGAAAAGTCCTTTATTCATCACTTGCAACATTCACAAAGCAAAAGTGAAGCACAAATGGTAGTTAAATCTTCATTTTCAAACTAGAAAACAAAACCCTGCGCAACTAAAACAGCTCTTTCGCATTGTAAATGCGATTCACAATCAGTTGGATGAACAGTGAGACACCCATTTCCAGTTTTGTGAGAAAGCATCAAAAAATAAATTCAAAAAGCTTTTAATTGCCAAAAATAAATATCCATTACACTATTCACAAACAACTTCAGTACAATAAAAACCTAAATTCTGATTCATTAAATTACATACGCATAATTAAAATTTGCGACACAACATTTTACATTATATAAGCACAATTAAAACAAAACACAAATGCAGCAAAGTGAAACATAAAATTAGAAAAGTTAAAACATTGTCTTTGGCACAGATTTAGTCAAGAATTCAACCCATTTCAAGAGTATGCAGGTACAGGTCTCTCTTCATCAGGAGCAAAGAAATCTGCAAGCAGCAGGTGCAACAATCATATTTATATCCTACAGAAACATAGCACCATCTGTTAATAAAGTTTTTTGTTTCACATTCACAAAGATTTACCTTGTTTAGTTAATGACTTTAGGTCCAATCCAGTCCTTCCTAATGATTTTAAAATTGTATTAACTTAATTTTCCTTAGTATTTTTGGTAACAGATTGTTCTAACCTCTTGTTCGCTTTACCACTATAGGATATAAATGTGACCTTTGCACTCGCTGCTTTCAAATGTTGCAGATCATTTAATGAAAGACCTGTACCTGTTCCCCCTCAAAATTGACTGAATTCTTGATTAAATCTATGCCAAACTTAAGGTTTTCTTTTTGCTAATTTTAAGTTTCTTTAATCTGATTCGATGACAGCCATCCACATAGCAGCATGATTACATAACAAAGAGTGAAATGGATTAATTTGGAAAGACATAGAGAAGAAAGCTATTATTAACAATTTCTACTTTAAGAACAAAAAAGAGGACATAGCCAAATTAAAATGGGGAACAAAAAGAACTATCGCCAAATTAAAGTAAATACATTTCTTTCCTATTTTATATATTATACGTATGAGTGTATATACATATATGTATATTCCTGTTATGATTGATTCACAATGTCATTATAAACATTACAAACATTTATAATCTATATGCACATACAAATATCCAATATCACTTTAGAAAAAATTCAAAACAACTTACCAATACAATTTGTTTCATTTGTAGGATCAATAATAAATCCAAGGGTGCATTTACAAACGCGCTGGGTTCGAGATACAGGTAAACAAAGATGAGAGCAATTTCCATTTTTATAAGAACATATATTAGTATCTAAATGAAATACAGAGGGGAAAAAAAAGAAAACAGATTTAATGAGAATTTTTTAACAAGTTTTAACTCACATTTAAATATACATAAATTTTTGATTAAATGATTTAATAAAATAAGTACACATAAATAAAAATTCTACTTTACAATAATTATTCAATGCACATTTGAGTTTTTTGTGCATAACTCAATTTTATACCAATTTAAATATGTTAAAATTACACTAAGAGCAAGGATATGTGCATATTTACAAAAATAAATAAATAAATAAAAACAAAGTTTAAAATAAATTATTTGTATTAATATTTAGAATTGAACCAATGAGATGCATCTTGAATACACTTATTGAATAATAAAGAATAATTAATTATGAAACTCACCAACAAAATACTTTTCAAATAAAAGAGAAATAAATTCACATTGTAAAACAATCCCTCTTCACCCCCCTCCAAATGGGATATGCATTATTACTTTACAATATTCTTAGCCAAGTGCATTATTCAACAATAACAGATTGCTCAGATTACAGCTATTTAACATCTCTAGCAAAAATCATCTTGAAACATAAATGTAGTAAAGGATTTCACTCAAATAAATGCCTTTACTTACATCACATTAGATTCTATATTAAAATTTATCTAATCAATTATTATTCTTTATATGCATTATAACTGTCTATATAGTGTTTTATGTATGAAAAGTTACCTAATGCTTTCTCTATATGAAGACATTTATACTGCTAATGCATAATAAATAATAATTATTAAAAGGAAATTAAACTTAAGCTTCAAGACAAAAGAACACCTAGAAATTGTACAGTAACATCTATAAATTTATAAATAAGAGTTACCTTATTTGTAAGTAACACAATTTCAACTAACTCACTGTACACACACACTCACCCACCCCAAAAAAATACCCACACCATCATCTCTATTTGATATAATTTACTTTATACTATACTAGTCAAAATACACATTTCACGTTGTAGAGATATTAGGTTAATTGGAAAAGCCAGAGAGATGAAAAATGAGCAACAACCTTTACCGAGAATCGAGCCGCGGACCTCTGGAATACCGGCCCAGTGTGCAGACCACCACACCATGAAGGCTCGCCAAGGAGGTGGAAGAAACATCTTATAATGTCATCTTTTCAGGCTGTTAACTAAAACATTAATCAAATCCTCTCTTTTTTTCTGAGAGCAATTACGAGCTCCTGTAGGATTCGGGTCAGCTAGTGCAACATAACTCAGCCTACGTAATTCCCAAGATGATCAACAGCATTGAGGTAAGGAATGTGCAGTGGTTGGCTACTGTACATTCCCTTACCCCAAAAATATTTATAGAACAAGATTCTCAGTTTGAAGGCATTCAACCGCTATAGCAGCTAAATAAAGTTAAACATCATCAACAAACCCTGTTGGGGAAGGCACAACCTCATTTATGTACCGCTATGTGATTACAGAATTTTTTCATAGATAAATTCACTGCTGGCCATTTGAAATTGCAACACCAGAAAAGAATGATCTGATGAACACCAAAATCACATGGAAAGAAGAAGTTGGGATATGCAAATGATTAGTATTTCAGCACATTTAAATGATTTAGAAGGGATAAACTACATCTGAAGCACTGCATAAAAGAAAAGCTGTGTAGTGGATTTCAACTTAAAAAAGTGCTTTGTAAGATTCGAGTTTGCTCAGAATACTGTGTTATGCCTTGAATAAGAGGAGGGAATGCTTACCAGAAAGTTTGGAATTTTGATAGAGACAGGATCATTGTCTATCAAAAGTGTATATTATCGTTCCACGATATTGCCAGTTGCACTAGTCAACATCCAACCACTGTCATACAAATATGGAATCAATGGATTGCTGAGGGTCAGATTGAATGGCATGCAGGCTCTCAACACCCTCCCATGACTAATGCCAGAGAGAACTGATATATTGTGAGGTCAGCCCTGCAAAATATTAGTTAGGTATGTTTGCAGCACGTCTAGTATCAGCTTGTAAGTTGCATCGATGTTTCTAGCAACGTGGCCTATCAGCAGGGTGACTATTACTTCAGCTTAACTTTTCAATACAGCATAGAGAGAGACAGCGACAATGGTGCGCCAAACAACAAAGCTGAGTACAGGGAGTGGCAAAATGTTGCCTTTTCAAATGAGTTTTGGTTCTACATGCAGTATTCTGATGGCTATATACGTGTTTGGAGTGCCCTAGGAGACCGCATGTCGCCTGCTTGCATTTGATATTGGCTATTGGCATACGGACCCTGCACCTGGTGTGATGGTTTGGGCATCCATTGTTACATGACATGCATATCTCTAGTTCGGATTGGCAGTAATTTGAACGCAGATGGGTACATTTCTGACATCCTATGTTCAGTGGTTATGTCCTATCTTCGAGGCCCCCAAATGTCATGTTGAACAAGATAATGCAAAACCACATGATGCATGTCATGTTCTGATCTTCCTCGATACACAGGATATTCGATTGCTGCTCAGGGTAGCACGGTCTCTCAGGGTTCATAGCCACATTTTAGTTAAAAAAATAAGCACCTATAAGCACTTTTCAAGCACATTTTAAGAAAAAAATAAGCACTTGTCTAATTACATTATACACAACTGCATAGCCTTAAAAATTAAACTTGTAATTTAAAATAATAATAAATGGAGTATTTATTAAGAGAGAATAAGCATTACCTCAACCATAGAAAATAATTACTTTTTTTTTAAATTTTAAATAACATTCCAATTTACAGAACTAGTTTACAACGAGAGGAAAAAAACTATGCAGAACTAAACTATAGTTAACGAGATTTAATGATGAAATTTCAGTTCAAAATAGAGAAAATAAATACTAATAAGGAATATTTATTGTATTCGCTTGGAACCAAATAATAAATACAATTCATTTTTCCACTCATATTGATATTTAAATAATTTAAATCTAAATTCTGAACATTTTCTAAATTTTCATTGTATATCAGTTTTCCCTTAACAGATATTGCAAGCAAAGTAATTTAAGTAAAAAAGAGGAACATTTCTGAAACTAGAAGACAGAAATTTGCTTCATGCAGTCATCCTTTAACAGTAAAAGCTTAACTAACCCGCATACTTGGAAATTGGCGAATATTCGGACAGTCGAGCGTAACTTGAAAAAGAGGAGCGGAAGGGGGGTAGACTGTAGCCGCTCTTTAGATTTCTCCGCTAAATAAATGCTTTTGACATTTTGATATGTGCATCATATAAAAATAAACCAATGGAACTGAAAAATATTCTGCTTAGCAAGCACAGTAAAACTCTTTTAAGTGTTCATAAACAAATCTCGGACAGAACATCAAAATTAATTACATCTGCAAGATATCGCAAACGTTATTGCGCAATACGTGTGCCGTAATTCTTCCCTACGTGATATTACGCAATCGGAATCAACAGCTGCCGGTATTGGAAGAATAAAACTGGGGTGTTTTTCAATATCATCTACAGCAGATTAAAAAACTATACTGAATTACTGCCTCCGGAGCAATTTGGTTTCCAAAGAAAGCTTTCAACAACGAAGCAGCTGGTTCGGCTCGTCGAGTTTTATGGGGATGCGCTTCACAAGAAAAAAATGTCGCCTTACTCATGCTAGACGTGGCGAAGGCATTCGACCGCATCTGGCATGAGGGTCTTATTTATAAACTTATAAATCTCCCTATGGATAGAGAGCTGATTCAGCTAATTATGTCTTTCATCACTAATAGGAAATTCACTGTGGCTATTGGAAAGGACATCTCCAGTTTACGCACCATGAATGCAGGCATCCCACAGGGGTCCATTTTAGGGCCCGTCTTGTATTTATTTTATGTTCATGACTTCCCTAGGGCTCACATTGGCAGAAATTACTTTCTTGGGTGCTATGTGGATGATACGGCATTATCCGTAAATTCCGCAAATGCACACCATGCAATCAAGAAATTACAGGAGCTTCTACCAGTGGTAGAAAAGTGGTGTACGACTTGGAGAATTGCTATTAATGCCAGCAAGTCGCAATTATTATTGATAAGGAGAAAAAATACACAGTTGACTATTAATAGCAAGCTCTTCTTATTCTCTGAAGAGATTCCTAGAGTTAGTAAGGCGAAATATTTAGGAGTAATGCTAAATGAAAGATTAAAATGGGGAGATCATATAACAGAGGTCAGAAGAAAAATTTTCACTGTTATAAATAGTCTCATCCCTATATTGGGTAATTATTCTAGCTTAGACCTCAGGAAAAAGAGGCTAGTTTATATCACGGCAATTAGGCCATTGATGACTTATGCGTCGCCGGCCTGGTGCATGGCTACCAAGGAGGATATAAAAAGACTTCAAATCATGCAAAACAAAGTCTTAAGGCTTATCACCCATGCTCACTTTTTTGTGAGCAATGCTACACTGCACTGTGACTTAAAACTGGACACTGTAGAAGAGCACCTGAATAAGATCAACAGGAAATTCTTCACGAAAGCTCTGAACTGTGACCATATGAGAAATTTTGATATCTTTACCTACGAAATATTGAATGAGGACTCCAAACTGCGCCCACTTGCGGCCCACCTTATCAGGGACCCGAACTTTTCCACCTAGTGCCCACCTGTAAATAATGTACCCAATGTGTTTATTAGCATTCTCAATTTTGTATCTTACTCATTTATTGTACTGTGTATTTCTTAAATTCACTAGTTTTATTCACATTCTACACTCATTTTATGACTCCCACTTAGTCACGCCTTTACCAGGCCGGTTACTTGCTAGTGAGCTCTTGCGTTGCTGGTCTTCCTATTCTTTATCCGTCTTTCTCCTCCTTACTGCGGACATTATGTGAAGATAGTTCTATGTTATTGTGCCCATCCGGCATAAATTTGATTGAGCCAGATGAACTACTGATCTCAGTGGTATTCTGGCTATAAGTTATCAGTCAGTCAGTCAGTGTTTTTCATTCTAATTTTCAACAGACGGCGTTAAATTTCCAGAATAGAATCATTCTTCGCTTGGGTTGGTAGACTGCAGAATTTTTAGTCCTATTCAATCCAGATTGGAAAACAACAACAACAAAAAAAAAAAAAAAAAAAAAGAGGGTCCATGGCTTGTTTTGCAGCGAACTGTAACAGTTTCAATATTCGAGATTTTGTGGAGAATGGGGAGAACCTCCCAATCTTCGTACTGTATAATGTATTGGCCAAAAAAATGAAATTATTTTGACTATTCGATCACTTTCCCTTTATTTAAGCCATTCCAAATATTATTCCTTAGAAAGCTAATCTGTGTTAAAACACAACCATTTTTGGAAGTTTACTATACTTCAGCAGTTACTGCAACTATGTTATTATAAACATTCGTACATATGCTCATAATATAAGCATAATGAAATAAGCATAATAAAATAAGCACTAAAAACAAAAAATAAGGGTTTTAAGTAAGCACCTATAAGGGCCTTTATATTTTATTTTCAAATATAAGGACTTATAAGCACTTATAAGGATCTCTACGAACCCTGGTCTCTAGATCTGTCACAAATTGAAATCATCTGCTCATGGGTTGCTGAGAGACTGGCTCGCCACCCCTCTCCAGCTAATACAGTTGATGAAGTGTGGCATAGACTTGAAGCAGCATGGAATGAGTTGCCTATTTCTGTCATCCACACCCAGTTTGACTCCATGCCTAAAGGGGAAAGGGTCATTTTAGCTGCCAGGGGTGGCAACTGTTTCTACTAATTTCACACCCCTGTAAACCTCCAAAATGCTTACAAGTTTAATCATTTTGTCTTCATACCATACTGTTTACATGCAATAATAATAATAATAATTTTATTATTATTATTTGTATTTGCTTTCCTTCATGGTGTTGCAATTTTAATGGCCAGCAGTTAGTTTGGTATGGCCATTCTCAAAATTCTATCCCAGACATGTAAACTGCAACCATTTCCACTACATGTCTTTCATGAACATGTAACAGAAAGTTATATATATCAGGCTCTCTGCAGATAAAAGTACATCTAGAAATACTATTTAAACTGAACCAGGAATCAGCTAAGTACAATCTAAGTCTATTATGATCTAGCCATGATACCCCCATTGATGATGAAGATGATACCATCAGAAATGCTTTCACTTGAGAAAGTGAAGTGCCATGTCATGGTCTTTCATAAAGATTCACTCATGAAGACTTTGGTAAGCAGGTCTGTTTATCCAAGTACTGCAATAGGTACTCAGACTCAGGTCAACTAAAGTCTCAAGCCAACTGTCCTATGTTTGGCTTATTCTTCTTGTGCAAATCTATCTTCCTGTACATTTCTTTATTCCAAAATGACAAATAATGGTCTTCACATTATGTAGTTACTTTTGCATGAACTGTAGATATCATGCTTGTAAAAAATTATGCAAATACATTTTCTTTTATGGTTTGCTCATATTCGCTTTAAATGCATATTCTGTGCTCAAATATTTATGCATCAATATGTTTCAATATTCAACAGCATATAATTACCAGAAATAATTACACTCAGATGAATTTTAATCAATCTCTAAGCAGTTAGCATTACTTTTATAAATATCCTTTGATCCTGAACATGAGTACATAATCAGAAAATCCACTACATTCCTAATAAATAAAATTAACAAAAAATATTAAAAGTATTTAATAAGAATATTACTTGATAAAAAAATATTAACTCCACTTACTATTTTGTAACTCTTCATCATAAACTTTCACAGCATAAATGCCTTCTGTTCCCTCCCGTAGAATCGTATGATTTCCTCCATTTACTTTGTCAACAGAATGAAGAGCATTATTCCCAAATGTAGCATATATTATGGTATTGTGATAAATGACTAATGCTGATGGTTCTTGCAGAAATAATGGCTTAATTTCAACTGTTTCTACTTTGTAGTCTTTCAAATTCATCCTTCGAATCAAGTCACTGCCACTATCAATCCAATACAGAAAATTGGGTTCTGATTCAAAATCCAGCGATAAACCTATAAAAAGATGCATAATCCAATGATGCACAATCTGAAGATGTTCATGAAAACAACTAAATTTTATTTGCATTTTGAAAAGCCCTTGAAATTTAATCTAAACACATCTATTATCAGCAAAAATATTTCCTAAAACACTCAAAAACTATGCATATAAATTATTTATTTAAAAACTAAAAGCATGTTTTTTAATATAAAGTAAGTAAGGGAAAAAATTAATAACTTTTGATTTAAAATGCATATTTTCAAAAAGAAACACTTTTTGAAACTGTCATGCAGCCCGAATGAAACTCACCAAGCAAATGCCTCAAAACTAGATATGCAAATGATCATTTCCTTACATAGAGGCTGTTCAATATAAAGGGCTGCAAATTTTGTTTCTTTAAAATTTTAACTGTCATGCCTGAAATAATCTTGGGCACAGCAGCACTGGTATTCCAAAATGTGGCGCCCGAGAATTACTTGGGCAAATTTTTTTTTGAATGCATCGAATTGTTATACCTGAATATATATCGTGGGAAATTTATTTTGGCTTCAATTCAACAGATGGCAGCACTTTACTGAAGGTTTCAAAGGATAGAGGTTTATATTCAAAATGCACAGCAATTTTTTGGATTTTTTATTACATGGGAAACATTTCCTTTTTGCAATAAAAAAAATTTACAATTTATACACACAAATCATCAAAATAACTTGACAGTTAACCCTACACAAAAACATACATTACCAAATCAAAAGTTTCTTAGGAGCGGAGTTCAATAAACAAAGAATTATATGAAAATAGTTTCAACATTGTATGAAAGATAGTTCTGTGTGTACATAATCTAACATTCTATATTGTTTCCATACAAAAAAAATTCCAATAAGTATTTCGTCATATTTTAATCAGTTAGATACAAAAGTCTTCATACCTTATATGCACAATTTAAGGAATCTGCAATTAATAAATATTTCAAAAGATCATTTCCCAAAAATTTTTTTTTGGGGGGAAGATACATTACTAGTCAAAATAAGAAACTTTAATTTTGTACTCTCTAGATTTGTTTCAGATTTCTTGATTCCCATTTGTAAAGGTGCAGAAAAAATAATGCATAGCACATATAATATTGACAGGAAATTTTCCTCTTTGATGCACCATATAAGAAGATTCTATTTTATTTTTGTGAAAATTCTCTACTATGCTTTAATAAGAAATTTTGCCATTGGATAAACATATAATATATATACACATATCTAAATAGAAATGCTTTCAAATGATATTCTCCTCTTCAGCTAAAAAGTACTGGATGTATGTGCATTTGAAAGTAAGCATCTCCCACCCAAAAAATAATAAATTATCAGTTAAATTATACTAATGCCCCAAAATTTGGAGCCTTTTGGAAAAAGTGCATTTCTGAGATTTGTTGTCTCATAACACTACTTGTTTTGCAGTTATACCATAAAATGATATAGCATAGGAAAGATAATTTACTCAAAAATGTAATCCAATAACATGTATGAAGGATATTATACAGGTGTTTCTAAATGAATATTGGTGTTTTAATGCTTTGTAGTATTTATTATGTAAAACGTAAAATTATAATTAATACATGAAATGAAAGAGCAACTCAAACAGTTATACCTACAAGTTTACAAGTATTCAATGTGAGCACCTTTCATCGCACAACTAACACATCTAGTTGATAGCCCAGTTCTTCCCCAACGTTTATTAGTATTTGCGGTGTAATTGACGCAACAGCTGCCTCAATCCCGTTTCTTAGGTCAGCTGGTAGTGGAGGCACATACATACAATCCTTTATGAACTCCCACAGGTAGAAATCACATGGCATCAGATCAAGTGAGCATGGAATCCATGGGAAACAAACTCTATCACTGGCCCTTTGCAGCTAATCTAGAAGTTGGTTACAGTGATGTCTAATCAATTGCATACATCACTATGCCAGTGAGGAGGTGCACCATCTTGTTGCCAAATGAAGTTATTTGGTTCATTTTCTACCAGCTGGGAAAATAGCCATAGTTGTAGAGCATCAAGATAAGAAAAACATAAACTTTCTGTTGCGATATAGCACAAAAACATTCTATTTAAGGGAGTTTCATTGACACTGTACCACCTCATGAAGATTTTGAGCCTCAAATGCACGCATTATGAGTGTTCATGTCCACTGAGGTGAAATGTCGATTCATCACTGAAAACAACATGATCCAGAAAACTGTCATGCAACAATATTTTTGTGAAAGTTGGCAGGTAAACCATGGTCTGTAGGCTTTAGAGCATGTACTAACTGAAAATGATACGGGTATAATTGTAAGCATTTCCATGAAACTTTCCAAACAGTCATCACCGAAACTGCTAATTCACAATTAGTCTTCCAAACTGATTTCTTCGGGCTACGCATGAAAGACTCTCTCACTTGTTCAACACTCTCTTCACTAATCCTTGGTCATCCCATACTCTTGCCTTTGCAAAGGCAGCTGTTATTTTCAAACTGGTGATACCATCTATGATAACATACAGATGTTATTATCACTTGGGTAATTACATCTGAACTTAATCCAGAATGCACACTGCACAGTAACTACAGATTCGGTTTGTGCTAACTGCAGAACACAAAAAGCTTTCTGTTCACTAGTCGCCTTTTTTGCTACTAACGTTTTCTCGTGAATGCGCATACCAGCAAACAAAGCTGTTTGAGTTGCTCTTTCAACACATGTATTAATTATGATTTTAACTTTAACAAGTACTTTACGTGTACGTATAGTACTTTTACGTAGTACGTACTTTACGTGTACGTATAGTACTTTTACGTAGTACGTACTTTACGTGTACGTATAGTAATAAGTACTTTTACGTAGTGTTAAAACCCCAATAGTCATTTAAAAAAACCTGCATTATAATGCATGTTATGAAAAAAAAAACTGAAATATACAGACAAAACACAATAATGCTTATTATTTCAGTCAGGTAATCTTAAACGTTTTTCCCCCTCTCTTCTTTTTTCTTATTTTTTCAATGTGGTGAAATTTGTAACCTATTTTGCATTATAAAGAATGCACAACACCTTTGCTTAATACACTACCTCACATTGAAAATGCAACATTAAGGAGAGGTCAGAAAATGATAAGACTTGGCAGAAAAAGACAGTAATGAATGATAAGTGATCTTTATTTTAAAATGATATGCATAATAAAGAGCAAGAACAGCCTCTTCACAGTAGGTTGTAAGATCACCTTCGATGGCGATACCTGAAGCAACACGTCTAGATACAGAGTCAATGGGACTGTGAATGGTATCCTGAAGAATGGCTCTCTATTCCCTGCCAACCATTTAACACAGTTTGTCTTCTGAACGCAGCAATGGTAGTCTGCAAATAGCATCCAATCACATCCCAAATGTGTTCGATTGGTGAGAAATCAGGAGACAATGGTAGCCAGGGAAGCACCTATACACCTTGCAGAGCATGTTAGCTGATGCAAGCAACGTGTGGTCAAGTGTTATCCTGCAGATAAAGGACATCGGGCAATCCTTCGAGGTAGGGAAGTGTCACCAGCCACAACACATCATCCACATAATGTTGGGCCATCAGAGTGCCCTGAATACGAACTAGAGGTAACTTGGAATTGTACACAATTGCACCCCAAACCATGATGCAGCATTATCGTAGAGGGGCATTCCACAATTTGCATCACTAGTAAATAAGGCATCAATGTAACATTATGAAAACAAACACTTTACAGAGGTTTTTGTCAACAGTTATTACATTAGTTTCTAAAATTCTATCTGTCAATGTAACACTTTGCATTCATAGTTACCCCTCCTCCCATAGCCTAAATCACTTGGAAACTAAATTTAAATGAATCAGATATTTATTTACATCAGACACCTTTAAGTTATTGATTTGTATATAAGTGGAAGCATTTTAGGGGTTGCTAAAATTCTATATCTTTACACTCCAAGCAGCCTACGTTTTGACCCTAAACTTCTTACAAAGGCAAAAAGTAGCGGTGTTTTTTTTTTATTATTATTATAAATAAAAATCCAAAATGACACTCTCAATTTATATTTTAACACCTTTTCTTCTACTACATTTACTAATTTAATTGTCTGGAAAATTTTAAGATGCATGTCTGATCACTTAAAATGTATAATGAAAAATATTTTTGAACATATATATATATAACTCGGAACTTGGAGGTTTAAAGACAATTTTATCATTAGGAAGTCCTAAGTTAAAGTCTTATAGTGGTTGTGTTTAACCCTCTGAGCATTACGGGTTTAGCCTTGAAATTTCAAAGTTCCTCAATATGTCATGAATAAGTGATATTTTCTTGATTTTAATTAAAAAATGACTCTTTCATTTTGTACCTCGATTCCTTTTCTTCGAATATATATCCAACTGAAATCAGATACATTAAAAGCTAGCAGAAATTTTCATGTATAATGAATGTGGAAGGCAACCTTCTGTACGGAATTTTCCGGCCTTAATGCTGAGAGGGTTAATACAGACAAGTTCATAAATCTAACTTTTAAAATAAAGCACTCTTATTTGGAAAATGCCACAGCAGATCAATGTATTTAACATAATTAGGATGTCTCACCATGATTTAAAGTAATGAAAGAATACAGCTGACTAATTTTACTGAAGAAGAAAAAATTTTAAAAAAAGTATCAAAAGTATAAGTACCATGAATATAAATTGAAAATTGCTGACAATGAAATAGATAAGATTGTGGATTTGAATGAATAAAAAAGAAATTTTAATAAAATAAATTAATAAAAATGAATAGTTTGCAGATGATGAATTAGAACAGCATTTGGAAGCTTTTCTCAAGAAAGAACCATTTTTATAATTTGAAAGTTCTACAGACCACCTCATTTTTATCCTCTTGAAAGCAACTTTTTAGCACACCAGTATACTTATATTTCTAAAATGCACGTAACTGAAATTCATTTAATTTCATACTGGTATTAATAAATTAAGCTAATAGAAGAAAAGTTATAT